ATTATACACCTGAAGATGGTTCATTGAAAACCGAAACATGTCGTGAAAATGATGATGCTCTAATTGTAAATCGAACATTTCGATAAAAAGAGCATCATTTTAATATATATTTTAATATATTTTAAATATTTTAAATATTAAATGTTAATTACAGTAATAATATTTTAATATTTAATAAAATATTTTATTGTGATTAGACGGTTAAAATAAACAATTATAATCATCACAATATGACGCAACAATATCACCTCATGATTAGAGAGTTAAGTGAAATCTCGTTGTTATGTAATCAATACAATTATATATAACTGCAAATTCAAAAAGACATCATGGATGCACTTTCGTTCATGGTGATTTGCCTTTGATGACGTAGGCCTATGTTAATGTGTGTCGGTTTGCTCTGTTACAGACGAGGGCCTGGAAGACTACAGTGAGAATAATCTGGAGAGATTACTTCAAGCCCCGGCTCACAAGTGAGTACTTCGAACAATGTCACCAGTCCTACCACTTCCCCTATCTAAAATAATAGAAACATGGCGGCAGTCTTTAACTACTTAACCAAAATACTATGTTAATAAATAATTAGGCCCATGAATTTAACGTACTGAATAAATTACACCTCATTTGTTGAAGTAATAATTTTCGTAAAAGTCCACTTGGGCCCCTGCTCTGAGCTAGACAGACGAATGTAGTCTGCATGCTCCTACCACTTTCATTATCATTTTAATATTAACCTACCATCTACTCCTAAGTTTTCCAAGTTGCCTCTTCCCGTCAGGTTTTCAGACTAGAATCATGTACAATCTGTGTAACAAAATTCAAGCGCTTGAAGTTTTCCAGACCGGAAGTGACGTAAGCTTAGTTACTGGCGTCATTATGACAGTAATTTATAATCCCCTTGTGTTTGTCCCAACGTGAATTTTATTAATTCGCATTACCTACCAGCAAAGACTACAATACACCTGACTAATATGAAGAAGCACTTGAATTAATGTTAGGATACACAGCGAAATGAAGGTTATGTCTTCAGACGGATGTAATATTCGTTGGCGGACGAGTTGATAGTTTGATATGCAGACCATACGAAAGTTCGTGACCTCGTATGTTTATTTTGGATGAAATTTTATATTCTCGAAAGTATTCATTTCAACTACGCACATGTGTTATTTGCAAATAATTGTCTAAATTTTAAGTATGGAACTTATACCACGAGAAACTTAAAATACGAAAATATTTACACAGCGATGTTCGAAAAAAAAATAATATGTGACTGTTATCGTTTGTGAATGATACACAGTTCAATAGTTTCTGTTATCAATCATTAAACAATCATCGTTTGTATCATCAGCATACTAAGAGTGCTTCATTGGCGACGCTGGAAGTGTCGTGGCAGCAGATATTTATTTTATTATTCCGTGATGTTTTAAACGTCCCAATTTCAGATTTTACTGAACAAAAATTGTATCTGTAAAAACAAAAAACAAAAGAAAACACTTTACAACCGTTATTATTTCGTGATGTACATCAGTTACTTTAAAAAAACATGAACCAACATGTTGGCACTTGGAACAGCTGTTTTAAGGACCTGGCATATTTAGTAAGACGTCAGAATTTCTGACTTTCAACCAGGGACCTGATTCGTCTCGGCATGGAAACAATTATAGATCGAGCACAACGTTCAGACGAGGAGACTTCAATGTTAATGAACCTCGTATTAAGCTCTTAGCGACTTTGGGTCGATTTATGTAACAGACACTCGGAGATACGTTCATGGTCACAAAGAGTACTCGTTTGTACACGTCTTAAAGCGTAACGGTAGGTTACATAATCCTTAGAAGGGCATGCCCTCGATTAGGGTCCCGTTCTGCAGTGAATCAGTGGACTCTACTACAATTTCCTGGCCAAAAAATTAAGTGTCGAACTTCCGTTGCTTCTTTTTAAATACACAGTTTCATTTTAATTCGTCCACCTTTAGTTCTAAATTCTCCTGACAGCTCGCCTACTTACGCTGTCAAATATAATTCATGTATGACTTAAGGTTCTCACAGCGGTGAGAGATTTCTGTCTTCTGGGTTGTTGCACTGTGTAGTCCGGTCGATGTTAACCAACGTTTCAGAGGTCATACTGCCTCTGTCATCAGGGCGATGAGTATAAAGATTTCTGTCTTCTGGGTAGTTGCGCTGTGTAGTCTGGTCGATATTAACCAACGTTTCAGAGGTCATACTGCCTCTGTCATCAGGGCGATGAGTATAAAGATTTCTGTCTTCTGGGTAGTTGCGCTGTGTAGTCTGGTCGATATTAACCAACGTTTCAGAGGTCATACTGCCTCTGTCATCAGGGCGATGAGTATAAAGATTTCTGTCTTCTGGGTAGTTGCGCTGTGTAGTCTGGTCGATATTAACCAACGTTTCAGAGGTCATACTGCCTCTGTCATCAGGGCGATGAGTATAAAGATTTCTGTCTTCTGGGTAGTTGCGCTGTGTAGTCTGGTCGATATTAACCAACGTTTCAGAGGTCATACTGCCTCTGTCATCAGGGCGATGAGTATAAAGATTTCTGTCTTCTGGGTAGTTGCGCTGTGTAGTCTGGTCGATATTAACCAACGTTTCAGAGGTCATACTGCCTCTGTCATCAGGGCGATGAGTATAAAGATTTCTGTCTTCTGGGTAGTTGCGCTGTGTAGTCTGGTCGATATTAACCAACGTTTCAGAGGTCATACTGCCTCTGTCATCAGGGCGATGAGTATAAAGATTTCTGTCTTCTGGGTAGTTGCGCTGTGTAGTCTGGTCGATATTAACCAACGTTTCAGAGGTCATACTGCCTCTGTCATCAGGGCGATGAGTATAAAGATTTCTGTCTTCTGGGTAGTTGCGCTGTGTAGTCTGGTCGATATTAACCAACGTTTCAGAGGTCATACTGCCTCTGTCATCAGGGCGATGAGTATAAAGATTTCTGTCTTCTGGGTAGTTGCGCTGTGTAGTCTGGTCGATATTAACCAACGTTTCAGAGGTCATACTGCCTCTGTCATCAGGGCGATGAGTATAAAGATTTCTGTCTTCTGGGTAGTTGCGCTGTGTAGTCTGGTCGATATTAACCAACGTTTCAGAGGTCATACTGCCTCTGTCATCAGGGCGATGAGTATAAAGATTTCTGTCTTCTGGGTAGTTGCGCTGTGTAGTCTGGTCGATATTAACCAACGTTTCAGAGGTCATACTGCCTCTGTCATCAGGGCGATGAGTATAAAGATTTCTGTCTTCTGGGTAGTTGCGCTGTGTAGTCTGGTCGATATTAACCAACGTTTCAGAGGTCATACTGCCTCTGTCATCAGGGCGATGAGTATAAAGATTTCTGTCTTCTGGGTAGTTGCGCTGTGTAGTCTGGTCGATATTAACCAACGTTTCAGAGGTCATACTGCCTCTGTCATCAGGGCGATGAGTATAAAGATTTCTGTCTTCTGGGTAGTTGCGCTGTGTAGTCTGGTCGATATTAACCAACGTTTCAGAGGTCATACTGCCTCTGTCATCAGGGCGATGAGTATAAAGATTTCTGTCTTCTGGGTAGTTGCGCTGTGTAGTCTGGTCGATATTAACCAACGTTTCAGAGGTCATACTGCCTCTGTCATCAGGGCGATGAGTATAAAGATTTCTGTCTTCTGGGTAGTTGCGCTGTGTAGTCTGGTCGATATTAACCAACGTTTCAGAGGTCATACTGCCTCCGTCAGAAGACAGAAATCTTCAATTATAGTTCAGTTGGTAGTTTGTTTACCTACGGGACGGGAGGTTAGAGCTTAAGTTTTAGTGAAGTAGTTTTTGCTTGAGGAGCTCCAACAGCTGCCACTTCACCAGACATCCAAACAGCAGAGAAGATCTCCCTCAGTCCCGCAATAACAAGTCGTCAAAGTCGACTCCGATCCGCTATCTGCGTGTGTGTTGATGTGAAAAGGCGTTATTTACAGAGGAGACGACGAAGGAGAGTTGATGTGGGATATATTTATGGCAATAGTTAAAATTTTATCGAATATGGGGTTTTATTTTTCTGTGTGCATTGCTACAAGGGATCTAGGTGTTTGCCATTTCTGGCTGTTTTTTATGACGTGAATGTGTTCCTGGTACTAATTTTAAAATTACGGCCAGTGCTGCCTATAAACTGCACCTCGTTTTGGGTATCATAAAGATAGAAGGCGTGTATCAGCTGGAGTAACACTGGTTGGGATGAATGAACTGTCACGATTTATGAGAAATAAATTACAAAAAAGAAATCAGGTACTCCACAAGGTTTGTTATTGGATCGTTCGATGAAACTGAACATATTTTAATTCTTGAATCACACACATTTCATTACAGACCCATTGAGAACTAGAGATGAATGTTCAGAAAATTCGATATTAACAGCTGAAACAATCTTAAAATGACGTGATCAGAAATTAAAATATTTTTATTTGTGGTATTAAAATATTTGTACAATAAATGTTTATCTTCACGTTTTGTTCCACCTCAGCTTGGCCAGACCTGATAACACTCTTGTCTATGCTGATTTTGTGTTGGATGAAACTTTTCATATATTACATTTTAATAGTATTAAATTATATGGACATTTGTTCAACTGTTATTAAGTTTCGGGACATGTAGAGACTGATGTTAAAACAGAACAATTTAGTAGACGCTTTGAAGATTTGAAAACACGTTAATACATAGTAATAAAGTAATTTCTTATTCATAAGTTGATATACTTGCGTCATATTGTGAATTAAAATTTAATTATTCGTGTTTTTCCGTCTAATCAACCAAATATGTAAATGATATTTTAATATCTTATGTATAATTTTATTTATATACAATTGTGATTAGACGGAAAAAACACAAATAATTAAATTTCTTATTCGTTAAACGCAACATTTTATGTTTTGAAATATGCAGTGTCCTTTCAGAACATGTGGTTGCTAGTTTCGGCATTTTTAATTAAATAATCAGACCATAGTTTGGACACGACGTTTAAGTAAATGTGCTTACTGTAACGTTTTTCCACATTTATATGGTCTATAAATTATGAAACAAAGTTGACAATGCGTTGGAACGGTTCACCACAGCCTGAGACCACAAATTCAGTGCCACACAATAGATGGCCATAAAGTGCACTTCGCCTGTAATAAAAGAAGCCTTCAGAAATATAAACACTTGCTGAACCATCTTAGCAGGGACAAATATAAAATGTTAACACCTAAAGAGGTTCAAACTTCAGCGTCTGCAATGAAAAATAAGAATAAGAAATCCCAGACCTCTTACGAGTAATCTCTCCGAAGGTCTAGACCTTTACGTGGGAAGTATCTACTTGGAGTCTTTATATAAATGTCTACTATCCGTACCGTGTTTTCATGCTGGGGAGGATTTTAAATAGGCCACGACTTTTTCCTTCCCCGTCTTTTCCAATTGTATCGTTTGGCATAAAAGGTTGCCCACACTTGAGTCGCCACCTCTAAATGATTGTTATGCCACGCCCTTCATGACATTCGGCACAAAATTTTGCGATGCTTTAAAAAAATATTTTAACCATTAAAAGTAACCAACAGGACACTTTAACATATCCACAAGTAGTGCGGACTAATTAAACTATTTTTACTATTATACTGATGACGCCATATCAGAAACTGTTTTTCATTCTTGATCATTCGGGTCCTTTTGAAGCGAACGCATGATCTGGAGGTCCTATCTTCCTGTCCCTCTCTGCGTCTTTCGTCCGCATGTTTCATATCCGAAGCCACTGAATGGATTCCAATTAATTTAGAATTCTACACAAGTTACTTCGGTTATAATGAATCCAATGTGTCACTTGCTTTATATGAAGCTTAGTCGAAACGTTATTACTTTTGTCGATAACTGTTCGTATCGTTACAAAACTTAAATACATACATCGATTGGGACAATTTTCGAAAATGTAAATATTTTTGAAAAAAATACGAAAGAATATTTTTCTTGTAACTATGTACTGTGATTAGCTGCCCAGAATTGAGGATTTATCTATAGAAACACGTGACCTTCAAGACCAGCAATATATGAAAAATCACAAAGAATATTTTTTCCCTTTGTTTCGTAAAAAAAATAATAATAATAAAGTTAACTTCGGTCTGGCAGGAGATGTCGATATTCAGCACGCAAGAAGGCAATATAAAATATCTCATAACTCATCTTCTTTGTCATAAGGGTATAGCGGTCAGACCACGTATTCTGTATATCTGTTTCATGTATTTTCGGAAGGAAACACAAAGAGCTTTTCTATGGTTTTCTATGGTTCATGTAATGACATTGGCAGAACTCTGGGGAACCTTTGTGTTTCGTTATACGAAATATGAGAATCAATGTCGTACAGTATATACCAGTGGTGGGCAATCCACTTCTTGCAGAATTTCGTGGGCAAATTCCATGACAGCGTCTCTGAAATATTGTCAACAGATAAAAGTATATTGCGAAGATATTTAAAACTGAAAGTCATAGGTGTGTTCATTATACATTTCCCTTGCTTCTACATAGATATTCCTTTTTAGCTTAAAAATATTTTGTTGAAGAAAATTAAACATTTATTGCTGTATTTTCTGCTACGTTCAGATAATTATTTTGTAAACTGTAAATTGCATCTGATGGAAATGATTTCTCACCACTGGTATGACCAATGTGTTTCTTAACTATCACAGATAATTCTAATTTCCTTGCAGACGTTCTTCTCTAATTTACCTTTTCAGACGGGCGTGTGTCAGACGAGGTGGAAACTGCGATCACAGGCCGAAGGACTGCTGTTACAACAGCTCCTGCCGTTGCAACCTGTGGGGCGCAAACTGCCGGTGCCAGCGCATGGGCCTCTTCCAAAAATGGGGAAAATAAGTGGAGGAATTCGTGCCAAATGTCGCAGCGAGCAACCTACATCTCACCTTCCACAAATTAATGGTCGTCATGTTGAGAACACTGGACAATAATGCATCGCTGCGATTGACAGACACACGATGTGATACTTGATGATATCTCAATTTTAATTATGTAAAATTAAATCATTTCCTTCTTTATTTTAGTTTCAAATTGATTAATCAGAATTATTTCATTTATCTGCTTTGCTATACGGAATCAAATTTAACTCTATTTTTTGTTAAAATAATCCACATTATTTTAATAACAAATAAATTAAATATATTAAAGTAATTTTTCCGTCTACACAAATTTTTATCTTATATACCTACTAATTATGTACTAATTAGGGCCACTAATTGATTCTGTATCTTTTACAACCATTATCAGGCAGAAAACAATGCATGATGAAGTGATAATAATTGAACTGAATGGCAATGTTTTGATTTGAACGTTTAAAGAGAAAAATAATAAAACATCAAATCCTATCGTGAATTTGATGGGTAGTATATTTAAGTTTAATTTACATAACGCTATAGATACCAAAAAAAATTATAGCTGGATTCGATGTTTACTTATTTTAACAAAACATTCAAATGAAAACATTGTCATACGTTTCGATTTATATCGCGTATTTTATGTCATCTGAAGATGGTCGTGAAAAAGACCGAAATATTTTGCGGCCGTATTTGGTATATAATTAGTATACAATTAAAATGTACTCTGTAAAAGAAATTAATTAAAAACATATTACGCAACAGATGTCTCATTTCAAGATAAATATAAATTAAATTATACAAATATCTAGTTTGTGAAAAGTCTCAGTATTATCTTGTCACTTGAAACTTATTTAAAACTTTAATTGTATGTTTAGATGCTACAAAACTTAGACTCTTTTACAGGTCTGTTGTTAATTAAACAAAATGGAACTTTCACCAGCAATGAATCTTAAGTTATATAGAAATCGTAACTATCCTGTGCTTGAAGTAATATTAATATTTGTGTTTTAAAAAATTGTATTATTGTAAAAACCGAGCGTAGATTAATTTTAATTTGTACACATCTGATTAAACTCAAATGTAATGCGAAATAAGCAACATATTTACATAATAGCGCTCTGTAATATATAACATTTGAATAATTGTGTCAATTAAATCCCCAGTTAAAGAAATAGCAACTGAATTGTTTTCCAGATCTGAGATTCTCACGGCCTTAAAGATGTCGCGTGATCTTGTAGGCGATTACCAACGTTCAGAGGAACATACGAGGCTGAAGACAGAAAAGATACGTTTCTCCGTGGTAGATCTGTAAATTATAAATGGGATGGACGCATAACCGACCCATGCACCACCGCCATTTCATCGTGTTCCATTCCAACTTTCACCTTAACCTTCTAACAGCCTTGTACCTCCCATAAAGTTCAGTGTTTTTCATAGCTAGATGCATTTCAATCGAAGAACTATTTTATTGGTGGCCGTAATTAGGGTCTCAAGTCTCGTAGCGTTCCTGGGTCATATTTAACTAGGGCATTGCCCTCAAACACTGGTCTTTTAGGCACCATGGTCAGGGTCTCCATAGACTTTGGAAAGGCCATGTATTCCTGGTGCCATAAGCCCTCGGTAGTAGTTTTTGTTCTTCGTGGTTTTACTCTCCTCCTAACCCTTCCTCCTTGGTTCCTTTGTAACCATATACAAGTACAATCAAATATATCGCGACCGACAACTAAAATGTGGTACATATATATCGACGGTAAAATGTAATGAAATTTGCATAATTATATTCATACAAACATAAAATGAAACGTGTAGAAATTAGAGAAGGCCTATAACATGACCGTTGTTTCTGTACGGTGGACGTCCTTGCATTAACATTTATTTCCTTTTTAAAAATAAATTTTATTTTATACCAATTGTGTGTTAAACGTGGGCACGAAATGTTTTGGTCACACACGACAATCGTTACGTGGTTTAAAATCAGTATAAAAATAAAAACCTGAACTGTAATGCAATGTTTTAAATATTATTAAATGTCAAACAACAAGTATTAAAATATCAAAATCTCGTCCACAAGCCACATTTAACACACAAGTAATGTACAATAAAATTCATTGTCAAGACGAAAATAGTATTTCAACAAATCATATAACACAATACGATGTCTCATTTTAAGAAGGATATTCCCTTAAGAAGGACGTGTGTCGAATTGGACTGGACAGTTCTTCACAATTACATTCTTACTTCAATAAACAGGTTATGAATTTTCAATAATCTATAAAATAAGTTCAGTTATGGCATTATTTAATCTCAGATTTGTTTCAGAATATGTGGAAAAGGTTCTGAAGACGGGTATAATTTTTCAGTCAAAAGAAAATAAACGAATATACTTTTCTTTAAATGAAAATTTCTTGTACCATATGCCAACTCATATTTTAAATTCTTTTAAAAGGGCTTTCCGCTATAATTCTGGTTTATTTTAATATCTTCAGACTTCAATATGCAATTATAAAGCCCCCCCGAATTGACTGAATCTCAAAATACCATCCTTGTCGCGTACATGCCAAGATTTTCAATCAATGGAAGGGCTTTGTACATAAGAAAATAATTTTTACATAAATATCTAATTGCCCATAATACGCTCTGATCAAACATATGAGTACTATGACTATCAGAACAGTAATTGGTTTATCAAAATAGATCACGGATCATGAATTAGAACAAAGAAAATATTAAATAAAATAGAGTTTTATATGCAACAGGTTCCTTCTGACTTGAGATTAGCCAATCAGATGGCATGTCCGTTGCGTACAATAAATTCAATTATATTTGAGATAAAAATAAAGACAGTAGATATGTATGTATATAATTTACAACTATATAACCTGTGTAATTACAGGATGTGTCCTGTAGTATATGCTAATAAATGCTTCAATATAATTCTAATACTTGAGCACTGTCTGTATTAGCAACTATTTTCCAGTTTTCATAACACATTAAAGACTTCTGCCTATTTAATTTATATAATACGTTGTATTTAACGTAATCTGCGGAGGCTCGAGACCTACGTGGTGGGAGCACTCCTTTTACTCGTCTGCCTTGCATTATGGACCTACCAACATACTTCATAAAATGCGATTAAATTGAGTTAACCAAGCAATTAGTCTTAACCATTAATCACGTAAATTGCCGTCAGTCATTTAGAACATTTAATACAGAGTAAGTAAATTATAGGCAGTCAGGTGTCATGGTGACGCCCTGGCACATTTCATAGAACGCTGACGTCAAACACCGTCGTTAAATATCACACAATCCATCAACTTTATTACTTATTAAGCTCACACACGTCTGTAGTCCTAGAAAGTTTTAGTATTCCTTTGAGTTCATTCAACCTAATTGAGGATATCACATGTTCCAAAGCTCTTTTGTTCGTAACATTCATCTCTGGAGATGTGTCTTATTACTCAGTGGCAGACAGTCGAAAGTCTAACGGTGGAACATCGGACTTACAGATCAATATTAAACCAGGTACATCATTCAAATAATCTATTTCGTATGGGACATATGTACCTGTCTCATTACTCCAGCCCACAAGCATTCAGTGAGCTGAGTTCAGTTTAAATGTAACAAGAAATTACTTGGCACCAAAATTACTATCATTTCGAGTATATTCACGCAAACAGGATTTTCATCGGACTTTTGGAAATCCCTTTGAACTGTGTACACGCGCTTGTGGAATGGAACTAAAGCTTACAAAACGCAAACCAAATAGAGATAATGGAAAGACAAGTACACAGAAGGGAAGATTTGTATAATAACCAGGCCTGGAGGTGTAATCCGTCTCGTTATTACATCTCTACAAGCGTCTTTTGCAACTCGGGTTATAAATTAATGCATGAGGTTAGCCCTCCGAAATAAATTTGTGCAAAAACGTCAATATTTGTAACTTAACACTCAATGTTTTCTGACCTCTTCAAATCTTGATCCGACTTACCCAATCTGGCCCATTCTATACTGACCTAAACCAAACCCTACTTAAACACACTAACTTATCTAACAAACAGGTAAACCCCAGCGCCAAAATTTAAATTTAATGGAACCTAACAACAGCTAAAATAACTCGACTTAACCTCACCCATTTTGCATTGATTCGTTCTAACCTAACCTAAACAAATCAGTTGTTACCTAACCTAAATTTTACCGAAGATAACCAAACTATCATGTCAATCCCTAACTTAACCTAACCTTACATACCCTATAACACGAATAATCAAATTAAACAGTCCCTAATTTACCTGATCATCCCAAATCTCACCCCACATAACCTAATCTAACCCCTCCCATGCCAAAGTTACCTAGATCATCCTACGCATGTAAACTTAACGCAACCTAACCTAACCTAATCTAACCTAACCTAACCTAACATAACCCAGACTAACCTAATAAAAACCCATCTAGCCTCCTTACCTAAACCAACCCAGAGGTAATCTCCCCTTATCCTGTGGGCTGCGTCTCACCGCACGTCTTAACCAAGGTAAAGATGACAACCTTGATTATGATGTCCAGTCATACCAATTTTTATCTAAATCCGTTCAGTAACCATCGTGGCGCTGGATACACACTTTAAGAAGGCACACAGAGATCCGATCCTTGCTTAGGTGTGTAAGGTTACATTCGAATATCTGCTGCCACTATGTTTGTCATCGTAACAAATGTCTTCTGCTTACTTTTGCGTATGTGTGAGGCGTCGATAATATGTTCTTAAGTGTGATGACAAAACTACTTAAGGAATTATTCTCTTCCTAAGATATGTTAAATTGTGGTTGAACCTTAATCTTATTTCCTTTTTGCATGCCAAAATTTTTCAGCTGCATTTCTATTTCCTAATCGATTTAGTTGTTAAATCCTCATCACGTGGTTTTATTTGAGGACTCGTGACTTCCTTTATGGGTTTCGCTAAGAGCACGAATCCTCTCGACAGTTTCAGAGA